GTTGCCAACTGCTCGAGTGGATACTATTGTACGGGTGGCGCGGTGAACGCAACCCCCGAAACGGGGCCACTCGGTGGCCAGTGCCCACTCGGTGCCACGTGCCTGGCGGGTTCGTCCCAGCCGACGCCATGCAAAGCAGGATACTACTGCCCCGACATTGCTACCACGTTGCCTTGTACAGCTGGCTTTTACTGCCTTCAGGCATGTCGAGACCTAATTTGCTTGATGTTCATGCTCGATTAGGGCTCGTACACGCCGACGCCGACGGGACAGACTAATGTATTTGGGGTTATCGGTAACCAGTGCCCACAAGGCTCGTATTGCCCTCAAGGCTCGAGCAACCCCAGCCCATGCCCCGCCGGCACGTATGGCGCCTCACCGCAGCTCCCCAATGTGTCGTCCTGCTCGATTTGCGACCCCGGCTTCATCTGCCCCACGACTGGCCTCGTCAGTTCGACGACCTTGTGTCCGGCCGGCTCGTACTGCCCCGGAGGGCAAGTCACCGGCGCGGAGCACTCGTGTCCACTGGGTTTTGCATGTCCGCTTGGGTCGATCGTGCCACAACCGTGTGCCGCAGGGACGTTTGCCAACAACACGGGCCAGAGCGCTTGCACGCCGTGTCCTCCTCAGTTCTACTGCCTCAGCAACGTGTCAGTACCATTGCCGTGCCCGGCGGGGTACTTTTGCCCCAGCCAAACGAAGTACGCGACGCAGTTTGCGTGTCCTGCGGGCTCAATGAGCAACCAAACGCAGCTGCCGTCGGCGGCGCAGTGCGACGACTGTCCGCCGGGCCGATATTGCAATGGCCAAGCCCCGACAAGTGAATGCATTGAGTGGAGTTCAGCAAGACTGACGTTTGACGAGTAGATGTACCGTCTGGGCTCTGTGCGCCATCATACTACTGCAGCAAGCGTGCTATTAGTCCGCGACCCAACGATACGACGGGGGGTCTCTGCAGTCCTGGCTATGTATGACGCACGCTCCATGACGACGCATGTTAGCGATACTCATCCGTCCTAGGTGTGTTTGGACGGGTCGTCGGTGCCCAACCCCACCGATGGTGTCACGGGCTTTGCATGTCCACCAGGAAACTACTGCCCCATGGGTTCAGCTTTCCCAGTTGGCTGCGCCCCCGGCACCTATAGCCCCCTTCTCGGCGCTGGGAGCTGCCTCGGATGTCCCACAGGATTCTTTTGCCCCCAAAATACGTCCGTGCCGATCGGCTGCCCCGCCGGCAGCTTTTGCCCCACCAACACATCCCTGCCACAACCATGTCCCGTCGCCACGTACAGCAATGTGGTCAACTTGACGAGCAGCTCGCAGTGCGCTCTTTGCTCCCCGGGCGCTTTCTGCAACGCCACGGGCCTGACGCAGCCGACGGGCTTGTGTGCTTCGGGTTACGTCTGTACTGGAGGTTTGTCACGTAACTATTTTATATGACTCACCTTGACTAGGCTCCCCGATCGCCAACCCCATCAACCAAACGTTCGGGTCGCTTTGTCCTCCCGGTAACTACTGTCCAGTGGGATCGGCCACGGGCACCAAATGCCCCATCGGTACATACCGCCCGACGTTGCAGGGCGAATCCGTGAACGACTGCTCTCCGTCGCCTGGTGGCACATTCACCAATGCCACAGGACTCACTGCGCCGTCGGGAGTGTGTGATGCTGGGTACTATTGCTCTCTCGCTGCCTCGACGCCTCGCCCTGTGGATGGTACAACCGGCAACATTTGTCCCCGTGGCTTTTACTGCCCTCAAGCCACAACAACACCACTCCTATGCCC